AGAGAAGACTCCCTGGAAAAGACCCTGATGTTAGTAAAATATGAGGGCAAGAGTAGAAGGGGACGACAGAGGATGAGATGGTTGGATAGTGTCATCGAAGCGACCAACATCACTTTGACCAGACTCTGGGAGGCAGTGGAAGACAGGAGGACCTGGCGTGCTCTGGTCCATGGGGTCACGAATAAGCGGACATGACTTAACAACTAAATAACAACAACAAATTAAGAAACAAATTTTTAAAAACCCTACATTCCTTTATCTAGATCCAATCATCAATTCAAATGGAGGCTAGAGTCAAGAAATCAGAAGAATATGCAGGCTTGGATTGGCAACTATGAAGGAACTAGAAAAGATCCTTAGATCTAAGGATGTGCCATTGGAGACCAAGGCCAAAATCCTCCATGCCATGGTATTCCCTATGGCCTGTGAACAAAGGTGACAGGAAATAAAATCAACTCATTTGCAATGTGGAGTTGGAAGAGAACTTCACAGATAGTACCATGGACCACTAGAAAGACAAATAAGTGGGTTCTATCTAGATTAAATCAAACCTCAACTCTCAATAAAAATGACTAAGCTGAAGCTATCAGTTCTGAGTGCATAGCTTGCTGGGAGTGTGTGCAATGTGCAGCCTGCATAATTAAAAATCGTAAACCACCAGAGAGTGCTTTCAGTGCTATGGGGTGTTATATAAGCACCACATTTTACTTTTTGCTTTACTATCATACTTTGGACATATTCTAAGAAGAGAAGACTCATTGGAAAACACAGTAATGTCAGGAAAAGTGGAAGGCAGCAGGAGGAAAAGGAAGGTGGAACATGACTTGGCAAAAGAAGGTGTATGGACTTAGCAAAGGAAGCCAAAGCTTTCAGTTTGTTAGCTCTGAACAGTAATGATTCATGGAGTTGCCATAGATTAGAAGTAACACGGTGGCAAAAAACCCAACTCCGCTGATGGTAGTTCATCTCCAGAGGGCTAGCTATGTTTGCATCAAATAACGATGTCTTACTAAAACAGTCATGAATCAGATATGTGAAATGTTATGTTGTTATAAGTTGATATACATGTGTTTTCCTGCGGTAGGTGAGAGTGATTGTCAATGGTGAAATGGGAGGGATTAATGATCACCAGCATCTGTATTTTCCGCATCCAGTGTCCATCTGACCTCATTGTCTATAATTTCGCTACCACCCCACCACATTTGTATGTACATATAAAGCATCACAACCCTTCACGCATCTGATGAAGTGAGCTGTGCTCCAGTCACTGCTCAAACATTTAAGAAATACTAGCTTCCCCTCTGCCAATTTTCATGGCTTTCGTTGTTTTATAAAAATTATGGAAGGGCTACAGTATGGTTGTCTAAAAGTTGCGGATTGAACAAGGGTTTGTAGATTGTGTTGTGGCAGTCCTTAGCTTTATTATGTGTCAGAGTCTGCTTTATCCCCCTCTTCCCTACTCTACTAGGTGAGGAACTTGTTCTATGATGAGGGTTCATTCATTCATTAGGGTTCATTCATTCATTCATGTAAAGTTTATTACAGTATTGTTGTTTTCTAAGATGCAACAAAGCCCATGTCATCCTTTGATTCCAGGCCATCAGTGTGTCCCCAGCATTTCCCTCCCTGTCTCTTCTTGGCAGCCTGATACATGTACCTACAGTTACAATTTTATGCTATACAGGTCATTCATGTTTACAACCATACATAAACAGGCAAGATAAAACACCTAACTGGCAAGGAGAGTGAAACTGCAGGAAAA